TATAATTTTATCAGGCAGTAAATCAAAACACCTGAAAAATTACTTAAAGAATACACATAATATATATAAAATATATTAAAATATATATTAAAATATCCAAAAATACATGATACAATTATAAAGACTATTCCTGAAATCTGAGACGAATTAAAGATTGTGTAAAATATACATTTTACGTTTTATACATTTTAAGATTCGAAAGATTCGAATCTAACCCGCATCTCATCTCTCACGTAATTTATGTTATATCTCGCATCTAACTAGTAAATATACAGAGAGACCATCGATTTCATCGATCGTGATCGTAAAACGGCCGCGGCCTGTAATCCTTTGTCTTTCTTTCGCAGGCGATCCCATCAACTGCCTATCGGAATTACCCTCCGGCCATGTGATCAACACGTATTGTTGGATCACGTACACATTCACGCTGCCGGGAAACCTCGCGAAGCCCGTGGGTACCCACGTGCCCCATCCGGGTCTAGGTGGCGATTACGGGGAGAAAAGGTACCACTCGTACTACCAATGGGTGCCGTTCATGTTGTTCTTCCAAGGCGTACTGTTCTATTTACCACATTGGATGTGGAAGCAATGGGAGGAAGGTAAAATCAGGATGATATCCGAAGGCTTAAGAGGTGCCATGATCGACACTAAACAGGAACGTCAAGCTAAGACCGAAAGACTGGTTCAATATCTCATGGAGACCATGCACTTGCATAACAGCTATGCTGCCGGATATTTCTTTTGCGAGGTCCTCAACTTTATCAATACCGTGAGTATACGTTTATGACATCAAGAAACTATCTAGAAACGATATTTGAATGATTTGAATGACACTAGCAAATCTCGTTTTTTAAATATAATTTCGCGTAATTTCATCACTACAGAATGTTTTTAAATTATTATAAAGCTACGAAATATACACAGGATATTAAAATATTTCTACAAAAGTAGGCTCATACTCTTTACATTAATTACTGAAACAATATCTTGTCTGCTCCAGGTTGGTAATATCTTCTTCGTAGACACATTTCTGGGCGGCGCTTTTCTTACATATGGCACGGATGTGTTGAAGTTTAGCAACATGAATCAGGAGCAACGTACTGATCCGATGATCGAAGTATTTCCACGCGTAACTAAGTGTACTTTTCACAAGTTTGGTGCCTCAGGTTCGATCCAGAAATTGGACGCGCTCTGCGTGCTCGCGCTCAATATTCTCAACGAGAAAATTTACATCTTTCTGTGGTTCTGGTTTATCATATTAGCTGTCTTTTCTGGATTGGCGGTGTTGTACAGCATGGCCATAGTATTGATGCCCAGCACACGCGAAACGATTATCAAGAAGCGCTTCAAGTTTGGCACATCAGCTACAGTTGGCACGCTCATCCGAAAAACTCAGGTAGGTTTTTCTTTAGTTAGTCCAATTATAATTTTAATCTCGCGAAGAAAATGCTCTTGTAAAAGATGTCGATAGAATTTGTTGAGTGAATATAATATATAGTAGCATAATAATCTGGAAATACTGACAAATATATTAAAAAGTTTCGGTTCATTGAACGATTATTTACGAACGCGGTAATCTACTTAAGAATTTAATAGAAACTCTCGAATAAAAGTTGAGGGACTCTATAACTGTTGACACGATGCAACTTTTGTAAATGAAATCTTCACGGATAATGGAAATATAAAAATATCTTTTTAAATGAAATTATAACATTCTTACATTTTAACGTGACATTTTATTTTGAAATTTAAGAAGAAAATTGAATTTTGCAGGTTGGCGACTTCTTAATGCTTCATTTGCTGGGTCAGAATCTGAATCTCATGACGTTCAACGAAGTGCTAGAAGAAATGTGCCGTCGTATACAATTCGGTAATGATGCATCGCCAACATCAGTACCTTCAGCACCCAGCACCCTCGAAATGTCGCCAATGTACCCGGAGATCGAGAAATTCAGCAAGGACACCGAGATCTAAATGCGAAAAGAAACTCGGCCGTCGTTGCTATTTTCCACTGCCCTTCTCCCCCTTTTACTTGTTCGTATTGTGATAATATCGAGGGCGGTTTTGCAATGCCGTCATCTCGATGCCAATAAAGAGACAGGTTCGTGCCGCGCTGTCGACTACATTATCGCGCGAGAAGCTATATAAAACCATACGCGCATCGGACGTCTCCCTGCTGCCCATCGGGGCTCATGTTTAACGTAGCCTTACTGTCACACGACACTCGTAAAACGTAAGCTCAGCATTAAAAAAGTCTTGATACTTGTTTCCTGTCAACGAGAGTGAGTTTCGCTCATTATCGCGTCCTTGTTAAAACGCGAAGTGATCCTTGACGTTTTATGTTCCATGAGACTTCCAATTGGAAATTTGAAAACTGCATCTTGCAAAGTGTATATTAATCTTTATTTCCTTTGTTTAATCACTTTTCATTCAAAATTGTTATGCAATTCCGATTGAAGATTCACTCGACAATTTCATTATATTTGCTCGCGTATGAAATAATACATCAATAAATTTGTACAAATTAATGCGTGAATTATCTCGGTAGTTTCTTCGTTGAAACTTTTGTCATTACAAGATGTTCATTTATCATTGTTATATTGCTACTATGCAATTCGAATATCTGAGCTTGGATTGGAGAACATGAATATAGCCTTCGTCATCTCCTTATTCAGCTTACAATCATTACGAGATTTTCATGTATCATAAAAACAAAGTTAAAACGCGTAAAATCGCACAAACCAATAAGGCTTTTTGTCGATTAGTTCTCCAATGAGATTTCTATTGTATTACTTATTTTTTCTTCTTACAAGTATTTTCGCTTGAATAGCAAATCACATGGGAGAATTACGTAACGAGCATTGTATTTCAACATGTCAATCAGACTTGTCTATCAGAAGAACGCATACTAATTGTCTTACACTGCAGCGGCACGAACTGATATTAGATTTATATCAAATATATAAATGTAGATGATAACGCGCAATGCTCTCAGATTATAAGACGTATGCACATGTAATTGTTTACAATCATTAAGTCGCAACGTTTTCAAATGTGATAGTCATTCCCACTCGCTATAATATCGAGTCATTTTGATTATTAATCATTTGTTCCATATAAATTTATTCAATGCCGATTTATTTCGCGATTTGAGGAAAGAAAACGGCCACATGAGACACGCGAATTCATAACGGTGTTCACTATCCAACATTCCTTTTATACCATCAAAAGAACAAAATAAAAAGCAGGCATCGAAGCGGTGAATGTATCGCTAAATACATTTGCATATTACTTGCTTTTGCAATATGTATAACAAATATCCCGCAAATCGCTTACATTAGTTAGGGAGCGCGGCAATATTTTATTCAAAGTGACGTAGAAGAACATTCATTATTCCATTATTTGTGACGAAAAATGTATCGACGTTATAACGACCTCGTCACAATCACACAGAAATTCAAAGACAGGAATATGCTGCTCAATAACGAATTTTCTAATCTTTTAAATAATTGTACGTATATATATATATTGTATATGTATATTAAGTATATTCGAATATCCGAAGATTTTCGAGCATAAGACGATTAATATGAAGCTTAAAGTTCGAAGGAATACAACGAAATCCGAGGATTTAAACAATAATATCATAGAATACTACCGCGTGCTATCACATTGTCAATGAAGATATAAAAATATTGCGACTTTATACTATAGAAGGTGTAAAGTAATTACATTTTATTTTATCTTTATTTTATCTTTATTAGCCTACCTATAGTAGTTAATAGAGATAAAGTAACGTGTCAATATTTCAAGTAAAAGGAACAAAACAAATGTTCATACATTCCACGATTCATTATTTTTTCTATTTCTTTACGCGAGTATTTTCACGTGACTGGCATTAAAGATTGTAACAAAGGTTAAAGCAAATAATATATTGAAATTTGATTGAAAAAAGAATTATGCGAACAATCCCGTGTTAATATGTAGTCAAACGTTTCACGTCTTTTACGCAATTCACTTATAAGGGATCTCACATGTCTAAAAATCTATCAAAATAATGTTTAATTTTCTGCAAATATAATATTAATTCCTGATATTATCTTCACGATATTATCTTGCGATACATTAATAATTAAAATATTTTCGTTTTTAACAATGTAATATTTAATGTAATTAGGTACTGCATTAACGCTGATTGGAAATTGAATTGCTTCAATTTATTAGGAAGAACGATATCTTCGAATATTATGTTGTCTCCTAAGTAAACTTTATTTGGCGCGATTAATTATCACGTACACAATAATCTTCCTTCTTGTTAATAGAAACAATAGAAACTTTCCATCGGATACATTCCCCATATCCTCTTGTCCGCGAGAGTAATGTATAAGCGCTACCGACAATAATTATATATATAATAATATAACGCTTATATAATATGATCCTTCCCTTTACGATATCCGCAACCCGTTAGATTATGACAAACGCGCTTCGAGTGATATCTTAAGATAGATGTTTAAGATGAACGAGAGAGAGGGAGAGAAAGAGAGAGAGAAAGAAAGAGCGAGAGAAAGAGAGATCAATTATATAGGTATAATAGTTGTTCGTAAAATGTGCCTTTTATATACACACACACACACACACACACAAACACACACACACAAACACACATACATATATAGATATGAAAAAAAGATTACATTAGTGTATTCTTTAGGAAGAGCGAAATGCTTCTTCTGACTCGTGTTTGATGAGAGGAAGACTGTCGACATGTGCTACGTCGTTATAGCGATTAATATGAAAGAGAATGACAGAATAAAAGAAATTCTTTCCAACAATGTCATGTATCATTCGCTTTTATGCAGCAATTGCCCGTGCAAGCGAACTTAATTAGCGTGTGATCACGTAAGAGCGAATCAATTTCGAAATTCTCTTCAGCTGAACTATTTGGCGCAACTACTTTCTCCAATTGCACAAAAGATCACTTTGCGCATAAATTATTTGACTAAAGTTTCTTTCTAATAAAAAAATGACATATATACATATATTTGTGTCATTTTTTAGTAGAAAAAAATTTTAATAGAGATATAAATATAACTTTTAATATTTTCTTCTCTATACTCGAAACTACTAAAATTAACTCGATTGCTAATAAAAATCAATAAGTTATTTGCGCCATTGATAATAAATATACATATGCTTTAATTATAGTATCTATATACCATCATTAGAAAACATTCGCGCAAATCAATTAAGTAATTAAAAAAACTTGATAAGTCTTTTCTTATAAATATGAATGATGGAAGGATATGGTTTCCGCTCTCATTCCTGTGGCACGTGCCGCGAATTTAATGTAGAATAGTACATTTTTTCCAACTTACCGATTCCCCCAATCCACTTTATTGATTATCCGCAACTTTAACTCCCGCGTCTGATCAGTCGTGAGGGTGCCGGCCAAAAGTTGCCGTCGCCATTCCAATAGTTCCCGCATCACTTTACGCAACGCGTTGAATTTGTACTCCTCACGCTCCTGCATCAGACAGCAAAGACAAAATTTTACATTCACATATTAAATCGCTAAAGTTTTATACGCATTCCTGAAAATAGAGAAAAAGACTATAAAATCAATCCTTTTTATGAATCTTGTAACGTGATATATAAATAACACAGAAAAGTAAAGGAAAAAATAGAAGAAAATTATGTGATTAACGAAAATGCTTCAAAGAACTTTCTTAGAGTATACCTTAGAGTATACCTTAGTAATATCTTAATTAATATTAAGATATTCATGTATGTATAAATAACGTAGACATTTTCAAATACAGAAGCAAAGAAATGAATGAGAAAGACAGAATTAAAGGATTGCAATTTTTTCTTCATCGATGGCAATTTTAATAAGAGAAGATATTCTCTGAAACGGACTACAAAGACAGATTTCGCAATGAAGAAGAAGAGTGGAAGGCGGGCAGAGAGAAATACGGAATGCGGTGTACTCACCACATACAACCTCTTCCAAATACCACCCCATTCTCGCAGAACCAGAGTGACTTCCCGAACCACCGGATCCTCCAATGGTATAACGGACTCGAAAAGACCTTCATTGTCGATTTTGCAAGGCTTCAGATGCACGTAGGAACTTGGAAAGATTCCCTTCACCGCGCGATTCTTCGTCGAGAAGCCTCTATACCAGCCTGGAATCGTCAGGAATTTCATTTTAGTTGCATTTTACCGATTACATTCCACTTATGTCTGAGAATATCTTTATACCTATACCTTTAACACTACACTGAAAAAAATTCCTGGACGAATCAGAAATTTCTAATTAAATTTATTAGAATTTTAGTTGAGATAACTGGAATTCTGATTGATACAATATTTCTGGTAAAATCTACTAAAATTCTTATTTTTAGACTAGAATAATTATATTAATCAGAATTCTAATTATCTTAACCAGAATTCTAATAGACTTAACCAGAAAATTCTGATTCGTCTGTTTTTCACCAGAATTACTATTTAATTCAAGACCATTTTTCTCAGTGTACAGATACGCAACATGGTATTAATTTAATGCTATTAATTTAAACAATGATGAACGCATTGAGAAAAAAATTAATTAATTTTAATAAATATTTAATTCAATACTGCAAACATTTACTTACAGTAAATAAATATTTGTTCAGTAAAAAAAATGATTAAATTAATATTTTTTATATCAAATATATCTTTATATTTAATAAATATTTAGTTGTAGTATTCAATTAAATATTTATTAAAATTGACTATATTTTTCTTCAGTGCGTGAATATTGATGTTAAAATTAATTAATACGAAAAGTAACAGTATTTAGTTATTATATAAGACATCATCAATCAATAATTTTGCATGAACCTATGAAATACGATCTTTTTCCTGCACTGAGAAAAAAATAGCCTAAATTTAAATAAATATTTATTTGAATATTGCCAACTAAATATTTACAATAAATAAATATTTACTTAATAAAAAGAAGTGATTGTTAAATCAAATTAATGTTTTTTGTACCAAATAAATATATTTTTATATTTAATAAATATTTAATTGGTACTATTGAAAAATAAATATTTATTGAAATTTAGGAATTTTTTTCTCAGTGTGTATTATTATTCTGCTTGCTAAATAATGCAATATATATAATTTCTATTAAATTCCGTAAATTAATTTGAGTAAACTGTCTAAAATTAATTTTAGCGAGGAAATAGTACGAATTGTTTGACATATGTAGATACAATAATTAATGATTATAAGAATTATTGTGTATTAGTAAAGACTTAATGCAAATTTTTAAATTCAGACAAAAATGTTGATATTATTCTTTAATATTCTTTTTTCG